CGAGGGGGTTTTGGTGGATGATGTTTAGCGTTTGACGATCGCTTTCAGTACGCGTGACCCAGTTCAGTCAAGCTGTCGTGGCGCATAAGAGTCTCCTATCTCCTACTTTTTTTGGTGTTGTATCTTCTCTTCCTCCTCCTCAGCCATGTGAGGTGCTCCCCTCGCTCCGAGCATCTGCGTGCCAGCAATTAATAATTGAGCATTTCATTCGTGTCATCTCTGATCGCGAGGAAGAGCCATAAAAGGATGGAAGGAGTCTGGAGGGAGGCGGGCGGAGATGATGAGAGGGAGAAGGAGAGTGGATGCCGGTGGAGGATTTTGCACTGTGTCAGTAGGGTGTGCTGTCTACAGCCTCATTAGTTCTGCAAGGAAAGTGTAGAGAGGAGGAAGGAGGAAGGAGGGGGAGACTTTGTTCTCAGTGATTAGAAAAAAAACTCAGTCAGCACAGTGACGTTGGGTGTGAATATATATGTGTCTGTGTGTGGGGGCGGGTTTATAATAAGTGCACCCATCCTTTACCTTTCTGTAAGCAAAAAGCACTCCCACCTTGCTGATGTCTGACTGGTCATTGATTTTGCTTTTCTTTCTCCTTTTGGTTTCAATTAGAAAGTCTCACTCAGACCAGGTGAGAACGTTCAGCAATGTTCACACGAGCCGCTGCCTTATTAACACCAGACCACCTCCAACTAAGGTCTGGTGTCAGCGTGATGAGCAGACGTTCTTGTTCTATAACGAGGTGACGATTTTAAGAGTCAGCAGGTAAACAGACAGATGGAGGCTTCACAGAGAGAAACAACCATTTGAATTTCCAGTCAAATTAATGCTGTGTATTCAGAGGAAAGATAATTACAGGTTTTCGCACCCTCAGGTGAAGCTTAACAGTAAAACCTGAACAAATGCAGAGTGATAATCATGCAGCAAATGTTTCTCGCTTTTTAAAAAAAAACTTTTCCAAATAATGTGATGACTGTTTCTCTACTGTTTTTTAAAAAAGCTTATTTCTCGCCTCATGGATGAGAAGTTTGACGGCACTCTCATGTCTGTACACTAAATAGCTTAGCATAGCATCACTGACCCTGCACCTTCAGTAAGCCTTTTGCTGTCTAACTGCAGTGGACCTGGGCTTTACCATCCCTGATGCCACCAAATTCAGTACGTGGAAGGAGTTGGCGGGAGCAACTCCCCAAGCATGTCAGGGCGCTCAATAGGTGGCAGTGGACCCAGCACACAGCTAACCCATTAGTCACAGAGATGCAGAGAACCTACTTCTCATAGCTTCCCAGAAGAAGCCACTGCACTTGACTTCAAAATAAGAGCCGCTGAACTAAGATGTCTCTCACGTGAAGAATTCATTACAACTGTAAAGGAGGGGGAACAGCTAGCTTGGCACTGTCTGCCTTCCAGCTCCTCTTAGGGCCCTGACACAAGCTGACGGTCGTCTATTGGTTGATGTCGGGCCGTTGGTTAGCATCTGTCAACCCTTGTATTTGCGGTGTGTCCTGCACCATTGGCACTTGTCGGCCCTTGTTGGCCATTGTTGGCTTTTTATCGGCTGATGTTGAATCAGCGTAGGACCTGGCAGTGAGAAGAACTCCTCTAATAGAAGTTTAGCTCAGTGCACGAGAAGAGAAACAGAAGTAAGAAAAGCAAATAAACAACTAGAGTCAAGAGGAAGTGAGATCCAAACAAACTTGTTACATTATGTTAGATTTTTTTTTAACAATTAAATTCTTTAGCAGTAACAGTTCGATTTGTTTGTGTTACTGTTCGCAAGGGTACGATTGATAGGGGAAAGGATCCACGATACGATATTATCACGATACTTAAGTCATGATTCTATATTATCACAGTTTTAGGTATGTTGCAATATGCTGAGCATTGTGACAATATATAGTGCAATATATTGCGATTTATTACCTTTTTTTAACTGTAAATTATGTCCCCAAAGAAAAACTTTGTCAACAAGTTTTCAGTCGGTTCACCTCACTTCAGCCATTTTTTGGAGCAGCAAAATGTATGTAGTGGACTGCCAGAGCAAGTGATTTTATTACTCTCGTAGTCTACCCAAAGTTGAATTTGTATTTGTCTTATTGATAATTTAAATGATACTAAAACTGATACTTGACGATACTGTATTGCCACACAAAAATATTGCGATACTATGCTATATCGATTTTTTTCCCACCACCCCTAACGAATAATATACGTTGTTCTTTCAACATCAGGTTGTGTTGTTAATGTGCTAACTGGCTAATTAGCATTTTAAATCATCTTCTTGTTTTGCTATTTAAATGACAAATACAGACTGCCGCCGCCTGCTGCTATGGAGACTTTTGTCGTCTCATGCAGGCACAGAACATATGTGCTTTTTTGCCATTGGCTGTAGTCTTTGAGTTGTGTTCATGTGCAACTGTTTGGTCGAGACACAGGCGACGCAACAGGCGACCTTTTTCGCCACGAGCTCTTTGATGTTGGTGTGGTGTGCCTGGACCATTAAGCTCACAGAAGACTGTATGGGACATGCAATAAAATAAAGCTTACTTAATTAGTCATGCATAGTTTATTTCACTGTTTAGTTAAGAAATGACAGATGTCACAATAAGTCAAACATTTAAACACTGAAATAATAAGTCATACACTCTAAGAAATTAATAATAACTTCTGCAGCGTAAGTTGAACTGAAATGGTTTGACAGCGGTTTTCATTTGACGTGCCTTTCTGTCCGCCACTGCCGAAACTTCATCGCTCATGTCAAATTCCCAGCACCAGAGACAGATAATATCAGTGTTACGTGTCATGAGGATACTTCCCTCTTTAGATTTCTACTTCCTCTTTACTGTCACAGGGCTGTAAGGTGACATGTTTGTTAATCCTCAACTATTTGTGTCTCAAATTAAAGTCACACATTGAATCCTGTTTTTAAACCCATGTGAAAATGAAAGCAGCAGCTCTCTCTGTGATGTTTGAACTGACCTGCATATGTTCTGTTTGTCCTCTGAGCCCTGTGGCTGGATGCATTTAAATGAAAGCAAGCATTAACTTTTTTATCCGCGTACATAGCATTTGTTTACATTCTCAGTAGGTTAACATACACGGCCTCTATGATAATCCTGCGTGTATTAACCATAGAAGATTCAGTGTATCTGCGCCTCATGAGATTATCTCTTTGCAATCCCTCTGATAGCCATAGAAGTCCTGAGATAAGTGAGATGAGCAAGAAAATGATACATTAAAAACTGTTATCCTTTAAAAATTACCATCATGCTTTATTAACACTGTCTGTTAATTTAATTCCTGAATTTCATATTTAGTGAGTTGTTTCTCTGAAGGCAACTCCCCGCCGCACAGTCTTTGATGTTCCTTAATAAGGCCTGTGGTTCACCAGTAATGCCACATAATACCTGGAAAAAAGTGTCTTTAACATAAATTAAACTGCCAAAATTGCTGCACAAGTGTGGTGGGAGCGTGTGTGTGTGTGTGTATGTGTGTGTGTTTGTTTACCAGTCATGTTGTAAGATCCTGACAGCCAACTACATCATCCAGAGGTCAGTCTGAGTTTACTTCGTCTGCGATGCCCAATTTCCTCGTCTGTGTGTCTCAGCAGGGCCATGGGCGTGGGAGGATGAGAGATGAATCCTCAGTTCATTCATAGTTCTCTGTCTCTCGAACGCTCTCTCTGTCTCATGTTTTCTGCTTTTTACTTTATCTTTTTTTTCAAAGCAGTGATCTGTATTTAGCTCAGTGAGCAGGCTGACATTGTTGATGCATTAAATCGCAGCACCTCAACGTCACCACGTAGGTCAAGAGATGAATAGTTTAATCGTTTGGTCCACAAAATGTTAGAACATATCACAATTTCTCAAAGCACAAGTTGATGCCCTTTATTTATGTGTCCAACAAACAAAAGACAAAAGATATTCAGATGACAGTCAGTAAGGACCAACAACGCCAGCACATAGTCACATTTGACAAACTTTAACCAGTGTCCTTTGGGCAGTTTTGCTTAAAGGGATAGTTTGGATCTTTTGAAGTTGGGTTGTACTAGTTACTTACCTGCAGTCAGTGTATTACCTACAGTGGATGGCAGTCTGCATGCCCCCAGTTTGGAGAAGTAGGCTGGAGTGCAACAGAGAAGCTAAGCAACACACTGCTGTGAAGGGGGGGCAGCAACACAACCTATTCTACCCCCCCTGGCCAGCGGTAGACCAGCAACTCCTGTGTTCAGCAAGCTAAAATTACTGGTTTTGTCACTGGGGTCTGGTGACTTCGATGAGAGCATAGAAGAGCATCTGAAGCCATTATCGGTTCCCTCCCTTTGGAACTGGCTGTCTGACAGAAAGGTAGAGCGCTGATAATATTCTCAATATAGCGTACACTTTAACTTAAACTTAAATACATTTCATGGTGTTGCCCTCGTCCACAGTGGTGCGTTACTTAGCTTCCATGTTAGCACTTCTGTGGATGATAAGTACCTCATACAACCACACTTCAAGCATCCAAACTGTCCCTTTAAGATTAATTAAAACAATTAATCAATTATCAAAACAGTTGATCAATTTCCTGCCAACTGACTAATTGTTTCAGGTCTAAAAGAGAGGACTTAAAATTTTTGCTTGCTTGGTGTTTTTCAGTGTGTAGCAGGGCCTACACACGTGAAGAGTTTGTTTCCAATATACTATACAGCAAGTTCAAGAATATAATACCTGGCGTTGAAAATGTAATAACGTGAAAATGAAGACAAAGTAGTCCATAACAGTATTATGATATTGTTACATGACTAACTTACAATCTTTTACCTGTGCAAGATTTATTTTTGACATTTAATATACTTGTGAAAAAGTAGATATTGCTTTAAAACTGGAGAATTTCCGTTAATATATAGGCCTATATTTTGACAATTTTACAGTGTCTTACCCTATTCACCTCAGAGTTATAATGTTTGGTCCATCCGTTGCGTTCTGTGATAATTTGTGCTCATTGTCTCTCTTTCTGTCTTGCAGTCCTGACGACATCGGAAGCTGCTGGTACATCCTGTTGTCCGGCTCCGTCTTCATCAAGGAGTCCATGTTCCTGCCCAGAAGCAGGTAAGATCACCGGCCATTTTAGATCAGGTGCCATTTTTAAGGCTTGACTTTGGCACCAACATCCAAGCAGCTTTCTCCCTTCAAAGCCTATTTAGAGCAGCCACACAGGGAGATAAAAAACTAATCCTGGACTGGCCAGAGAGAGACAATTTTAATTTAAACTATCTTGAAAAAGTTTGTTTCCCCTTCTTATCAACTTGCTCTTATCCAGATGAGTAAAGAGGGGTGATGCCTTTTACCCAAATTGGCTTTTTAAACAATATTTGCAGGAGTAAAGGTTACAAAGGAGACATCTGCTTGTTGTTAAATTCTCAAAAGGAGATGTATAAATCAGATAATTGCTTTTTCTACCACAAAAAAAAAAAAAGATTTTATTTATGTTGTCACAGAGGAAAATCACTCTGGAGAAAGAGGCCGCTACAACTTTTGTTTCAGTTTCTTCCAACCACAGAACAAACTATTAATGTGTTGATCTCAAATATTGGGTCACAAATTGGTACACAAGATTTAAATTTGCACTACTTGCTGGTTTAATCCAGAAAAACCCTGATATTCCAGTGCCTCCCATACACAATGTGTAGCTGCTCCTCTCAGCTCAGAGAATGTTGCAGGGCTGGTGTCTTGCACTTTATTGCAAGGCACCAGAAATGGCTTCAGCACATTTCCTGCAATTCTGGAGAAACAAAGCATTCATAGTGCCTCTCCTGCATAAATGCTCTGTGTGGCTCCCCAAGGAAAAGTCCTGAACAAGAGGAGATGAAGAAAGACGGCATCAAATGTGCACCGACGATACCAAAAGATGCGTGAAATTCTTTTAAAAGACAAAATAAAGTCTTTCTGAAAAATATTACAAGAGAAAAATAGCCACGCATAAACCCACATACCTGCAACTGTAGAGAAGCAAAGCATGCACAGTGGATCTGTCTTGCACAAATACTCTCTGTGCATGTGTAACACTATAAACACTCACTAAGGTCCTGACAGAACAATAAAGCATTGCAGATGACTCTGCAGACCTACAACACACATCTCAGATATCTTTCCCAATGAGCAGATTTATGTATGGAAATAAAAGAGACTTCAGTTCCAAGATGTAAATATATCACTTCATTCAACTTAAACAGAGAAAGTAAACCTGGCAACCTCCCCAGGAAGAAGTAAAGCAACACCCCCAGTTGTTAAACTAATATAAACACTACACTACAACTTCCTGTTAAACCAGAAAATAATTTTCCTTCAAGTGTTTAAAGTCTACATCAGGACATATTCTCTGCATTTACAAGCACTTGAGGAAGAGTTAGAAATATTAAAAATATAACAACAGAAGTGTCGACCTCAAAATGATTTTTACAGGAATTGTCAAAACTTTACGTTCCATTATTTAACAAACATAAGCGGTACATAAACATTGAATATGTGGTCTATAACACACCATATCAAGTTGTAAGAAGAGATAAGTTTCTTCCTGTGGGCACCCTCAAGTCGATGCTGGTGTATAAACAGATAATCTGGCTCACAGGATGTGGATTCTGAGATAGGCAGCCAAAAACACGCTTTATACCCAGACGTTACCACGCTCACTGTGTGTTACAGTTTTCAAATCCTTGTCGTGACATGAAACTAGTCTCACATAGCCAGACCTATCTCCACACTTAGTTTTAGCGCTGTGAGTGAAACAACAATTTCCGAGCTAGCAATGTACACGCTAAAATTACTTAAGAAAATTTAGTAGCCATGCACACACTAATGTGTCCTGGGCCACAGTGAAGGACGGCCTACTCAGCTGACATCCTTGGTTGCCCAACTCCCCGCCGGGTAGGCAAACTTTCTGTTGCTGCTGAAGCGCAGTGCTGAAGGCACAATCAAACGACTTTTAATGTTTTATGTGGTGATTTGTGGGGATTTTCTTTTTAATGCCAGCACATGCCTTTCCACCAAAACAAGTTCCCTCCTGACACCATTTTCGAAGACCACCATTGCTGCATCTTGGGTTTAGCGCCACCTAAGATGATTGTGATTGCTTTAAAGAAATACAAACAACTAAGAGTGTTTTTTTTCCTCTTAGCTCAAAATTTTGATAGGTTCAGCCAGACCTTTCTCTACCTCCGCACAGCACCAGATAGATCTGGCTTTGCAAGACAGATAATCAACAATATAGTAAAGTTATAATCAGGGTTGTAATAATATAAAACAGGGGTGTCAAACATATGGTCCGTGGGCAAGAATGGCCGGCCAAAGGGTCTAATCTGGCCCAATAGATGACTGGGCTAAGAGGTGTAAGGTTTCAGGATATAGTTCTCTGAAAAAAGCACTACTTATAGATATTAAACATTGTGCAAAATATTGTCAATCGGCAGCTTCAGTACAAAAGAATCTGCATCAGAATTCTATCTTAAAACAATACATGTGGAACCCTATTGCTAAAAAATGGAAATGACGGAGAAATGCACATGTTAAGACTAAGAAGTAGACTGAATGTGGTAAAACTGAGACATATTATTGAAATTTCACTTGTTTTGTTGTTTAAGACATATCAGGTTGTTCATCTGTTTTATAAAAGGATGAATATTTACAGAATGTACTATTACCTGTTAACACGTAAAGAAAAGGAGAAATTTGGAGCCATTGTTATTTATAAGTTATTTTGCGATGGTCTTATTGGTCCAACCCCCTTGAGGTCAAGTTTGTCTGTGTGTGGCCCATTATCTAAAATGAGTTTGACACCCGTGACATAAAATATGTCTTCATATTAGAAATTTTTATATAAGCTAAAATTTACAAATACTGTGCATTAATTAACACTTAAAATGTAATTTTAACAGCCTACAACTACATTACGTAAGGGATAATGTACAGTGAGAGGATCATCATTGCAAAATTAACCCAGACAGGGGGTGATGCAGGATCTCAACATGAAGTGGAGGGGTCTCAAATCACCTTGAAAGGGCTAATTTTGCAATAATTGTCCACTCACTGTACATTATCCCGCTTATTACGCAGCTACTTACTAAAGAAATCAATATTTTGACACAAAAAGTTGATTTAAAAATGATCTTATTGCTCCTCTAAGCATCTATGATCAGAACTGCGACCATAGTAATGTTCTTTTCTTCAGTAACAGCACACCTTAGAATGCTGTAATTTACTAATCTCAATTGAGAATTTAACAAAGCTGTGTCATAAAGTATGTTAGAAACCATTCATTAAATCTGTGTTCTTATAAATGCTAAATAATGAATTAATGATGTCCAAACTGAGTAGCAACCAGCTACTTTGATTTAGGTTTCAGCAACATTGAAGGGAAAATCTAATCTTATTTAGTTTTGGTTAAAAAAGGTGTTTGAAGATACTCTAAACATCTCCGCGATTTACAAATATTTCCACCAGCCCTTTTTCTGATGATGTGGGTTGTACAAAGAAACAATGAGTTGAGTATATGAAGATAGAGGAGTGGTAGAGAGTGTGTTTGTGACCAGAGCCCACCCCCATGATGGATAATAATTATCTACAACACCCTCAGAGGACTTAACATTCATGTTCCCCTCTCCAGCTCTCAGCCATCCGCTCACAGCAGCGATCACCACCTCTGAAGCCAAGACCCAAATGTTAAAAAGCTGCGATTTCACAAGTGGATCTGTTACATGAACCATCTCTGTGGGCGTCTTGAAAACAATGATCTTTTTCATCCATTAGGCTTGCGTAACACACACCTACGGCCACTCGGAGCACTCTGGGCCCCGTCACTTTAGCCCGCGGAGCAGAGCTGTCCCGGCAGCACTGCGGGGGTCGGCTGCGGTCATTCTATGGATTCACATGAACGTGGGAGGCATTTGAAACGGAAGACTCGATCGGAAATGTGCCACAAAAGCTGCTCCCCTCTTAAATATAACCTTTTCAGTTTTGCCAAGGTGAAAATGCGTATGTGGGATGCCGGAGGGGGATTTGCAGGTATTGGCAGATTAAAGTTAATGCTCGACTGCAGTCGCTGGGGAAGAGAGGGCTCTGAAAATGTTTACTAAGCATATGTTGCAAGGAAGCCTGTGCAGGGGTCCACTCTGCTGCATGAGACTGTATATAGTTGATAATTAGCTCACTTTTGTCTAGATGTCATCTGCATTGCACAAGACTGTTGTTTCTGTCATCTGCACATTGAGCGCTTGAATCACAGGATCAAGCGGAAGATTTGTCTTGGGAACATAATGTTAAGCAGCATAGCAACAGCGAGATCAACAAAGTGGAGGCTGACACTAAAGGCACAGAAACAACAGGACCTCTGCGTGCACTACAGACATGCATGCATCAGTCTATTTAACCTCCATTAGTATAAATGCACTCAAACTTACACACCTTTGGAAACTATCCTCACCAGAAAAAATGACAGCACTGGTTGTTTTTGACAAGAAGTTTGACATTTTCTTGACAAGCGACCTCTCGTGATTGTGTGAATATCGACCGTCATCTCTCTGAAGCGAAAGTGGACGTAACATGATGTCGTTAGAGCACCACAAAACCTCTCAGGGAGGATGTCGGGTGTGTGGCTGGGCATAAAACTTTGCATCCTGTATCCCACAAAACATTTAATGCAGGATTCTTTTAATCACGACTGTGTTATTCCCATAACCTAAACCAACGTAACCACAGAGGAGTGTGTCAACAACAAACAGCTCGCACGTATAAAGCCCCATTATAATACACAATGACTCTCAGAGTACTATCAGGAAAAAAACATTAAGCAGGGCTCGATGATGATATGACCTGATAAGTCCGCAGCACGATGAATTAACACATTTACATGTATAAAGATAAAGACAGAGCACTCCAGCACTCTATTATAGTCTTAGCCTCTGCCACAGCCCTTGTATGGCTGCCACATTAAAAACATCATTCTTGGGGGGAAATGAAGCGAGGCCCATTTCCCTGGTGACAAGAAGACGTTTTTGAAATGACACATTCAAAATGACACATTCTGGTTCAGGTTTTCAAGGACGCTTCGGTCATGA